TACTATGTTGTTGGCTGTGAGTTCTGACAGGAGGACCCAACTGGAAAAATCCAGAACTGGTTATATAGTTTATCTAGCCAGGATGACATCTTATTCTCAGGTGTTGGATGCAATCACTCTCACAACACTCTTGTATCAGCAAGATTTGTTTATTGAGAACTGGAAAGATTCCAAGCATTGACAGATTCTGTGTCAGAACTGACACCCAGGTGCCAGGACTGACCCTATACTACATGCAAAACATTCCCCCAAAGTCAAACTACCCAATCGATATTCTCACTCAGCCCACCAAAGATCCAAACCTGCCCTAAAGGCTGCCCCCCCACACACACACCTGCCACTAGCCATTACATTATCTAGACATTCCCTGCACCCAAGGTCCAGGTGGATGCTGAGATCATACATTTCCCAGAGCCTCGTAGACTACTCCAAGCTGGTACCACACACACCCCTTCTAGCTAGGAAGATAAACAGCATGTAGATTAAAACAGTGGACTGAGTTCTTCTGAGAAAGCAATTAACCCCTGAGGCCACAGAGCCTATGTGTAGTTAGATAACATTATATGACAAGCAAGGCTCGAGCTTGACACTTATGGTATAAGAAGAAGGATACCTTGAAAATGGTATAAATGTAGAAGCAGAGCTTTGGGGTAGGGTTTATGCCCTCTCTCTCACTCTGCTCTTTTTTCAGGTTATCCTCTACGTCCTCTGAGTGAATCTAAAGAATGCCTAAATCCGCGCATCGGGGGCACCTAGGGGAGAGGGAGATATTTCTGCACACTTGGTACGGTCCCCAGGTGTGCACAAAAATCCGAAACCTGTAAAAAAATATTGGGGGGATACGTAAATCCCCCCGAAACTGACAGAGCATCCCCTGCGCATGCGCAGGGAACGCTCTGCAGCCGGCCTCGCCGCCGCCTCAGACCCAGCCAGCCATCCGGGCAGCCGGGCGACCGGGCGGGCCACCGAGGCCTGGGTGCCTCGCTTTGCAGCAGGGGGAGGAAGCGCCGAGGCCCGGCGGCTACAAGCCACGCGGGCCTTGCTTTGCAACGGGGTGGGGGGAAGTGCTGAGGCCCGGCGGCTACAAGCCGCGGGGGCCTCACTTTGCAGCTGCGCGGGGGAAGCGCCGAGGCCCGGCGGCTACAAGCCGCACGGGCCGCGCTTTGCAGCCACGGGGGGGGAGGGGGACGGAGGAGCAGGCAGGATGGGGGGGAGCTCACCTGCTCCTGGTTCCTCCTCCGCCTGCTGAATTTAGAGCTCCCCCGCCCCCCCACGAGTTTCGCAGGTCTTCCCTCTTGTCTATATATCTAATTCTCAACATGGCCCTCTGCGTGCGGATACGTATTTCTGCAGATCGGGGGCACGTGGAGGGAAAAGAGATTATCCTGCACACGCGGGTCACTCCCTAGGTGTGCAGAAAAATTTAAAAACTTTTAAAAATATATGGGGGAGGTTAAAAATGAACAAAAAGTAAATCAGTGTTCACTGCACGTGTGCAGGAAATGGACTTACCAAGGCAGAGGACGAGGAGTCTTCTCTCCCCCTCCCTCCCTCCCTCCCTCCCCTGTAGTTCTACCTGGACCTATCCTTTAGTTCTGATTGCCTTAAGTCCTCCCACCCCCATAGCCACACACCCTCCACTGAATGTTCAAGTCTCCAGCAGCCGACAACAGCATCTACCGTGCGATTTTTAAAGTGTTTTAGCAAACTGCAACAGTTTTCAGCTTTCTTCACTCTCCTCAGGTGGCTCCTTCTACTTTCCATGCAATTGCAAGAAGAAAATGCACACTTACTCAAAAAAGGGGGGGGGAACCAGTAGAAAATAAACATGTCTTTGATTCCACCTTTTGTAGCAGGTGAGAGACGTTCCCAGCGCCTGGGCTCTTCCCTCTTTCCCGCCTCCTCCCAGCCAATTAGTTTTATGGTTTACTGTTAGAGGGAAAAGAAAAAACGTAGTGGGTGGGGAGGAAAACCTCTTCATCTTCAAAGAATGCAGGAGCGTGAGTCTGTGCAGGATTTTGCCTGGAGATGTGTGGGCTTAGCTAGTTCTTCCCTTGCATTGAAATGCCAATAGGGTGGGTTGGAAACATTTTATTGCGGGTCCCCTCTTGTCCATTCTATTGTCATATTGTTCGTTGTGAGAATGCCGTAATTTGTAATCTAGTATTGTGAAGAATTAGCGCTGAGGTAAGAAGAGGAAGTATTGAGGTAAGGTGCGTTAGAATTTATTAAGAATGTCTGTTTTGGGGGGAATTCTCTTGGGTTAAGAAAAACAGTGAAGAAACTTTTAGAATTTTGTTGTTGTTTGGAGAATGGTGTGTGTGTGTTTTGTTTGTCTGCTTGTTTTGAGAGTTTATTCTCTTGGGTTGAGGAATCTGTAATAAGAAACTGAAATGAAGGAATAAACCTTGTTGCCTTAAAATCTTCATTGTTGCATTACTGAAATAAAAGTAGTTAAATGGTATTTGGATTGCATCTGGTTCCTTTCACACAGAATTTGGTTTCTTTGGTGCTTGTTAGGGGAATGCAAAAAAAAAAGTCAGTATTGTTCGGTTTCGGGTATATCAGACTCGAAAAATATAGGTAAATGCCAAATATCCCCAGACCAATACCGGTAAAGTATCAGGACTGGGGAAATATTTGGTATTCCCTAAAATATATATTTGGATCTGATATACTCAACAGAAGTGAAGGGAGGCAAGTAAAAATGCCTTCTTTCCCTCTGGAAGCCAGTTAAGTTTTCTTTGTCAATTTCACTCCCTGCCAGTCAGCTGTTAGGTTTAAGCCACATAAACCTAAGAGCAGACCAGCCAAGGAAGTGAAACTGACAAAGGAAAGCCTCCTCTCTCTGCCTTCCCTTCTCTAGCTAACCCAGAGTAGCAAGAGAAGGGAAGGCAGGGAGCCCAAACATGTTTCCATGCCTGCCCTTTGCTTCCCCAGTCCCCCCCCCCCACTGCAGCAAGTTGGCTGGAGAAGCAAAGGCATGCATGGAAATATGTCTCCCCCCCCCGAAGCTTCTCCCCGAACAGGAGAGGGAAAGAAAGGCATTAAAACATGGCTGGGCTCTCTGCCCTTGCTTCTCCAGCAGCCCTGGGGCAGCTGGAGGAGGGAAGGTAGAGAGGAGCAGTGTTCCGGCTCACACTTTTTTGTCTTCGCTCAGAAAGGATGGCTCCAGAGCAAACTAATTAATGCAGTGGCCAAATTGCTCACTTACAACTTTAATGCCAGTCGCTCACAAAGTAGAATTTTTGCTCACAAGACTCCAAGCTTAGAGAGAGCATTGGAGAGGAGGCTTTCCCTGGTCAGTTTCACTCCCACGGCTGACTGGAGGGGAGTGAAATTGCGGAGGGAGGTCGGTATTTGGCTACCCGAAAGCCAAAAAAGCCAAATAAATTCAGGAGACTATATTTGGAAGCCGAAAAGTTTCCTGAATTTGCATTTGGCTTTAAAAATACTGATAAGGTATTTACTCAGTATTTTTTTTGGTTCAGGAAAGTCGAATGCACATCCCTAGCACTTGTAATTCAAAATTAGCCTGGGAGCTAACAGGTTAACACTCTACCCAGTCTGCATCCCTTACCATGACATGTTGTTCCATGGACTGCTCTTTTAAGAAGCTTAGACTTGCTGTGTAAACATATAAAGGACTGTGAAGGGTTAATTCTTCACAGAGCCAGAGAGCCTTGAGTTACAGGCTGCTCCAAGAGATCTGACTGGTTAGCATCAGCTGAGCAGACAAAGACTTTTGAACTGGATGCTAATTTCAGCCCTGAGAAGAGTCTACTGACAGTTCTGAAATTCAGCCCTGACTGAGAGCAGTTTAACACAGGAGAAATGGGGAAAGTTGGAAAGAATGAGTGGGTAGTTAGACGGAGACTCCCATTCAGGCCAAAGAAAGTGGACAGATCTTCTAGTAAGAGATGAATTTCCCTACCCAGTGAAAAAGGGAATTAGCTCTTACGAGTGCAGAGATCCCTGGTTTGGTGTGGTTAGAAACTGCCTTTAGAGACCTTAAGAGTCAGTTAAAAACTCAAGATGAGTACTACTGTTTCAAGAGAAGGGGTTGGGTACTGGAAAGAGTGTACCAGACTTCTGGAAACCAAAAAAGTTATAGAATACTCAAAGAAAGTATACTGAAGTGTTTGGGGAAAACCCTGGAACAAAAGCCTCTCAACATAAAGATTTAAGTCACTGTAAAAAGCTTAAGAAACTCTCATTAGCCTGAAACGTAAGAACTAAAGTCTGTACATGTACTGGTTTTGCCACAGAAATTTCAACCCTTGATATCACCTAACCTTTTCCGTCTATGTTGAGTACAATACTTTGTTAATTTGGAATATACAAACATTGCAAGTGCCATTTTCAGTGGTCTAAGTTAAAGGGTGATCCTGACCCTTCCCTCAGATTTCTGGGCTGAGCCAACAGCAAAATATCATACTGAGACAGGGTGGAACAGCCTAAGTTCTTCAGGAAAACAGACCACTAGGGCTGATAAGTCAGAAAGGGAAAAGAAAGGAAAATCTTTCCTCTGAGGGAGGGAAGTGGATGGGGCCATCATACAAATACATGCTAAGTAATGAGTCAGAGAGAAGGCCACTCATATCTAATCTGGCCTACGTCCTTCCTGCTCGAGCAACAGGGAATATGCAATAACCAAGGGCCATAGAACTGCAAAATGGGTAGGGGGTGGATAGTTTGACTCTCCCCCACAGCTTACATGCAGATCTGATCCCTAGCACTTTTTAAAATAAATTAACTCTTGTAGAAGTTTACAGTCAATAGTGAAACTCCCCTGTCCCTTTACTAACTAAAGGACTTTTCTTCCTAATTCTGAAGAAGAGTCAGTCATGTGTGTTGAGAGCTGTTCTGGTGCTATAAACACACTGAAAACCCCTAAAGGACCTAGTAAACCACTCAAGCCTTATGTTGCTCCATTCTGATTTAGAAAAACAAGGGCAGCATATCAGCTTCTAGACCACATAAAATTTGTAGTATCTTACTTGTTTCATTTCTGGTAACGTGCTTTTGGAGGAAATCAACTATTTGCGCCAAAGCCTTCTTGTTGCAGTGTGTTGACAGCTCTTCATTACATTCATAGCACCTTAAATAAAAAATTAAATACTGTAACAAATAAGCTCAAGATGCTAAATAAAATGTTATGACTGCATCTCCAAAGCACTGAGAATCTGCCTCTACAGAGATTAAACAAGTATTGACTTTATATAAAGCACACTTTACAACCACAAAAATAGTAAAATACAATTCTTCATTTCCTAATTTGCGTTCCCTACCTGCCTAAAATTCCATTAAAACCACTACTCTTATGCTGATGGAACTCTGGCTTTAAAGAACGGTGTTACCATATTTTTGGACAGTTGTCTGCTTAACAGTAATAAGTATCTCAAATCACATGAAAGGGCTGAGAGAGTGCATTAGTGCAAATAAGGACATGATTCCTTGTTTTAAGAGTGTGTGTGTCTCTTTAAATGTTTGGTTGGAGTGCAGTGATAGCAGAGTAGTGAGGGAGACAAGTGTGGTGTGATTGGACGATGAGAGAGTGTGGAAGGAGTTTTTGAAAGGAATCTCTGTGTGTGTCTTGAAGAGTTATGAAAAGTCAATTAGAGAAATCAGTTGGAGTTTTTGAGTAGGAGTCAGTGAGTGAGTGAGCTGACAGAGTCTGTGTGGAAAATTAAAGTGTTTAGAGTGCAGTACATATGTCTTCAAAAGTGAAACTCTAAAGATCTGAAAGAAAGTAAAAATACAAAGAACTTTGCCAGTGTGGCTATCCAGTGAAAGAGTGATTCCTGTCAGAGAGGGATCTTATGATCAAAAGACTGTGTGTGATACCTTGCCAGTTTCTTTTACCAGTTTCTCTTCCCCATGACAGTTACAGTTAACCAGCAACTCCTTTTTGTTCCTAAATCAATAAATCATATTTTGCTTAACCCAGAATTCAATTCAATCCTTCCTCAGAGCCACAGAGACCTCTGAAAAGCCCAGACTCTAGGTCACTTTACCAACAGCAAAGGACAGGTTTGGAATTCTTTAAAATCCTGGTGGCAGCAGAAACTACCCAGTTTACAAAAGCAAAGACCACATTTAAAGTGAAAACCAGTCCTCCCAAATAAGAGGACGCCACAAACCTCTAGCTGAACTGTGATCTACATCTGGAAAGCTCCAGCTCCCCTTTCTATTAGTTATGAACACTATAAACAAACGGCTTCTTTTGGTCATTCATGGTCATGAGATGCCATATAAAAGTATGGGGGAATGGAGGGCAGTGCTCTTCCCCATTTCCAGCCCAACCAGTGTCATACAACTGGTCTTGCAGGGCACAGATGCCTTATAGCAGCCATTAGGAGATATCAGAGGTGGAGCCAAGAGTGGATCCTAGGGCCATTACATGAAGGCTGGTACTAGAGGTTTTGTGTCTGATCCTGAGATCCATTATGTTAAGGAAACACTGCCATTCATTCCAGTACTACTGGATTTATTAATGCTGTAAGAAACCAGATTCTTTATCTAACTTAAAATTTCTTTTTAATTACAAGAAGTACTGTATCATACCCCTGACCTGGATGGCCCAGGCCAGCCTAATCTTGTCAGATCTCAGAAAATAAGTAGGGTCAGCCCTGGTTAGTACTTTGATGGGAAACCACCAAGGAAGTCCAGGGTTGCTACACAGAGGCAGGTAATGGCAAACCATCTCTGTTCATCTCTTGCCTTAAAAACCCTATGAGGTCACAATAAATCAGCTGCACTATTGTATCATTCTAGTTTGACTCTAATCCCCAGAAAAGTGTACAAGGTATAATATATATTACATGTAATATACAAGGTATAAATTATATTTACATATACACATTTACACAGCCCTATATTCTACCAGATAGACAACACACACAAATAATCTTACCATACAATCCATGAGCTGATGTTGATTACAATGCAATGAGGTTCTGCCCGTGCAGTCTGGAAATGTTTTAGAGAATGCTGAGCTTCTGAGTTTTGACTGCAGCCCTAAAGTTTATTGATAAAAAAATGAAATTATCCTTCAATAAAATCACTAAAACTGTTTTATTCAGAAAAATGCAAAATCAATTTTGTTAATAAAAAGAGCACTTCAAGAAGAAAAAAATAACTTTACAAGCAATATTTGTCACTTACATTATACTCTCATACAAATGTGGGGACCTACCACCCTACAAACATACAAAAGTGTTTTTTGGCCACCACATAAAGTCAACATAGCCATCCCTAAACGGACCAGCCATGCAACAGGTCAACAGGCCCTATTTGATTTTCACTGGCCAACCAACTCACTCTAAGGGACTTCCCAGAACTGTTTAGCAGTTTACTGTTCCCCAGGTCACCACCTACTAATCTATTCCCACTCTTCCTGGGAATAGCTAGAACTAAATCATTATATGATTTACATCAGGGGTGGCCAAACTGCGGCTCGGGAGCTGCATGTGGCTCTTTCACACATATTGTGTGGCTCCCAACAAGGCGGCTGAGGAAGCAAAGGGGAGGCATGCCTCCCTGATCGGTCTTCCCTTCCCCAGCCAGTGTTCCCCTCCCTGGGTAGGCTTGAGGTGGGGGAGAGAGCAGAGAAAGAAAGCAACTTTAACTTTAAATGCATTCTTAAAGACCCCTGCCGGCCAGCTTGGAGAAGGCATTTGTCTCTTTAAATCCCTTCTCCAAGCCAAGTCAGCCAGTGTGGGGGTGGGAAGGTCTTGGAAGATGCATTTAAAGTTTGCTTTCTTTCCACCTCTCCTTCCCCCCTCTCTCCCCCCATCTATTTACTTTCCACTTTCTTTCTTTCCATCTTTCTCTCTCTCCCCCCCTTCCTTCTGCATCTAAAGTTAAATATCATTTTCAACATCTGTTTTTACCCCTTTTGTTTTTATTTTTGGCAGTCTCATTTAATGTTAATAAAAAGCAAATATCCATATTTTTCAATAAAATTGTGTGTGTAATATTTGTTCATGTCTTGCGGCTCTCAAACATCTGATGTTTATTCCATGTGGCTCTTGTGTTAAGCAAGTTTAGCCACCCCTGATCTACATCCCACCAAATAATGTAATCCCTAGCACTTATTTGATTACTGCTGGTACATTCTAGAGCTCCAGTAAAGTGGATAAGCCATATGAGCCCCGTAGGACACTGAGGTCCACAAATCAACATCTCCTGGCAGTTCCTGGCCCCAGGGACGTCCATCTATCTTCAACCAAGGCCAGGGCTTTTTCGGCCCTGGTCCCTACCTGGTGGAATGAGCTCCCATATGAGATCAGGGCCCTGTATGATTTACTACAGTTCCACAGGGCCTGCAAGATGGAGCTCTTCCAGCGGGCTTTTGGTTAAGGTGGCAGACGTCCCTCCCTCTTCCTAGCCAACCACCCCACCAGTGGCCTGGATCTAATTTGACATTGGGGCACCACTGCTATATTCAAATTAATTTAATTGACATCTGTACAAATTACTTTACACAGTATTTTATGATTTTATGTTTTTTAATCTGTTATTAAATTATTGTTTAATGATACTGATGTAAATTGCCCCGAGCCTGCTCGTGGGGAGGGCGGTATATAAATCAAATAAATAAATAAATAGTATGTAACGATATGTCAAATATGATCTTTGATCTGCCAACTCACAAACTGAATATATTTACCTGAGCTCCACATTTGAGACAAAGCCATATGTCTGTAGGCATTACTGGCTCACCATCACATATTCTCCTTTCCTTTAGGCACTCAGAACATACTGACCAGATATTCTGAGCTACCACGTTCTTCACATAATGAACATCCACGGCTTGGCTTACATGCTGGCATGTCAAACCTACAGAATAAGAAATAAAAAGGAACAGGATGAGCAAACATTTTAATATTCTGTTATTTTGCTTGCTTCTTTTTAGAGAGAGAGGCTCAAATATATTTGCAAGTAATTGAGTCTAAAGTAGCAACACTCTCCTCATGCCACTAGCAGTTTTTCCATCACAACAGCAGCAACCATTTGATTTTTAAAAAACCATCATACCTTGGGGAAAAGAAGGCAAATCCACAACATGATCATTGAATGTCACTCAGAGTTTCCAGAGGTCTTACAAGGCATGTTGCCCCCCCCCCAATGTCATGCATTAGCATGACATTGGCCACAGCAGGCCTTGTAGCTATGTGACAAGCACTCTACTCACTCTCTTTGCATAGGATACAGGCCACCCTCTCCAAACTTTTGTCACCCTTTCTCCCTACCACCCATTTTTAAAGCATTGTCATTACTATTTTAACTCCTTCTCTCCAGTTCTGCCAGTAATGGAATGCAATTCTACTTCTCAAAACAAGAGAACTCTTCAGGACAAAATGACTTCATAACTCACCAGGCCACAAACTGACTAATCTCTGCTATTACACTTTCCAATTAAACTGGAAACTCCCATGGGTATTTGCTTTATTGGCTAATTACAACCATATGGACACTCCTTTCCTTTCCTTGATGAATAATGGGTGACTCACACCACCCTCAGGCACCTGTTACTGGTAGAAAATGTATCTGAGATCACTGCCAACATTGTCTCTCTACCTGAGTATATACAAAAAACAACCATAATCAAGCTTTTTGCAACCAACATTAATACAAGTCACTTATAGCATACAAAAAGTCCTCCTTTGTGCATGGTGATGCATCTATACCTCCTGCTCATCACACATATATACACAGCTACCACACATATCTAGACAGTTGTCAATTGTCTCTGGCCATGTCAGAACCTGCAACTTCATTTAAATTACCTTTTCCTGCAATGTCATCTGAGGAGTCTTCATCCTGAAGCTGATTTGATTTTTTGTGTCTCTTCGTTTTTTCAGTTATAGCCCTTGATGGATCTTTCACCCGCATCTGTTATTGCTGTAAAAGAAAGAAACAGAAATATGTACCACTATACATCATATCAGAATACAAAGGTTTAGCTGCCATTATCAACTCTTAAGTTTTCCACTAAACTGACACACAGATGACATAAACAGCGCAAATAAATGGCAGTTCTGATTATGGTTATCACAACTAGTTCTTTTAAGCCACTTCTATGCTGCACCAGACAGCCATCTCATCATGTAACATGAGTGAGGCCACCAACAACTAGTAGGAAAAGGGGCTGTATTAAACGAAAACATGTTTTGAACATGACTCGTCTCTACAGCAGTGCTTCAATTAAGCCCCTCCCAGAATCCTTTACAACTAGCCAGTTGGTATTCATTATTCAGGTAAACAACAAGTACCCCCCCCCCAACACACACACACAATTTTACATTATCTCTTATACTTTCTCATGCAGATGTGTAATTATAACTACCTGAAGCATTTGAGGAGTCCAGAACTAGATCAACTGTCACCCAGTTATAGGTAAGACCACAGTCATCACCATGACTAGCATCTGGACAAAGCCATCAATCACTGCATCAGATATTTAAGCACAAGGACAGTTCTGAAAGCCTTTAAAGCATACAGCAACTTAATACCTCCTAGAGCAGTAAATGAACCAGAACTACAGACTGGTAGTGGCCGCCACGCTTCCTCTGTTGAAATCTGTCATTTGAAATTCTCAGAAATGTCATGGGCACTGTATTCTATATCAGATGCATGTCCGACTCTTAATTGAGACCTCACATGAAATCTTACTGGGAGCTTGTAGAAGGCAGTGCTATGAACATTTGCTCTTTCTCATAGGAATTATCCCCCAGCAATCTATCAATGGCAGTTCACTCCAGAGACCCAATTGTTTCAGTTAGACATTAAGAAATACTGGATAGGTCAAACCCATGGGTTAATTCTCATAGGGTAATGCAGTAGTCTTTTTTACTGCCAGAAGTACAAGCTGGGTTTCAAAGAGGTAGAGGAACTAGGGATCAAAATGCCAACATTTGCTGGATTATTGAGAAAGTAAGAGAGTACCAGAAAAACATCTACTTCTGCTTCAGTGACTATGCTAAAGCCTTTGATTGTGTGGATCACAACAAACTGTGGCAAGTCCTTAAAGAGATGGGAGTACCAGACCACCTCACATGTCTCTTGAGAAACCTGTATAAGGGTCAAGAAGCAACAGAACTAGATATGGAACAACTGATTGGTTTATCATCGGAAAAGGAGTACGACAAGGATGTATATTGTCACCTTGCTTATTTAATTTATATGCAGAGTACATCATGCGAAACGCCGGTCTGGATGAATCACAAGCCGGAACTAAGATTGCTGGGGAAAATATCAACAACCTCAGATATGCAGACAATACCACTCTAATGGAAGAAAGTGAAGAGGGCCTAAAGAGCCTCTTGCTGAGGATCAAAGAGGAGAGCAGAAAAGTTGTCTTGAAACTCAACATCAAAAAAACCTAAGATCATGGCATCCGGCCTCATCACTCCTTGGCAAATAGAAGGGGAACGCGTGGAAGCAGTGACAGACTTCACGTTTCTGGGATCCAAGATCACTGTAGACGGTGACTGCAGTCATGAAATTAAAAGATGCCTGCTCCTTGGGAGGAAACCAATGGCAAACCTAGATAGCATAATAAAAAGTAGAGACATCACCCTGCCAACAAAAGTCCATTAGGTCAAAGCAATGGTATTCCCAGTAGTACTGTATGGCTGTGAGAGTTGAACTATAAGGAAGGCTGAGCGCCGAAGAATAGATTATTTTGAATTATGGTGCTGGAAGAAGACTCTTGAGAGTCCCTTGGACTGCAAGAAGATCAAATCAGTCAATCCTAAAAGAAATCAACCCTGACTGTTCCCTGGAAGGCCAGATACTGAAGCTGAAGCTCAAATACTTTAGCCACCAAATGAGAAGGGAGCACTCACTGGAGAAGACCCTGATGCTGGGAAAGATTGAAGGTCAAAGAAGAAGGGGATGAGATGGTTAGACAGTGTTATCGATGCAACGAACATGAAATTAAGCAATCTCCGGAGCATGATGGAAGACAGGAAGGCCTGGTGTGATGTGGTCCATGGGGTCACGAAGAGTCGGACTCGACTGTGTAACTGAACAACAACAACAAATGCAGTAGTCTCCCAGCACTACTTTTTGGAACCTCCCAAAAAAGGCAGGCAGACAACTACTGAAACTCAGTTTCCCTCAGCAGATGGTCCAGAAGGATACCATGGATAACAGTATTTAAAGCTGCTGAAAGCTGCAGAAGAATTAACAAGATCATATCCCTCCTGTACCTCTCCCAACAAATGTTATCAACTAGAGCAACTAAAGCAATCTGTCTTAATCCCTATCTGGAAACAAGGTTGGGTTTTTTTGAGGTGCCACAGGAGGAAGGAGATTAAGTCACACTCTGCAGGCACAAATCTTCCATCTATGGAAATATTCTGATGGATCCAAGCCCACAAGTCTAGGGGACCTCAACATCACTCCAAGATCAGCTCAAGATACCCACATTCAGTTCTGATTGCATCCCAAATTAGGGATCATGGCAACAGAGATCACTTCCTTATGAATCACAATACCTCCATTTCCCCTTTCACTTATTTTGTTTCAATACATATTTAAGAAGTAGCTAAGAACTCAGAAGCCTTAAATTTACTCTCATTTTAGAGGAGATTCATTTTGAAACCTGAGTAATTGTTATATTTTAATAAATCCAACTATTGTCATGAACAACAAAACTGGGAGGGAAAATCTTCCTCACCTGCAGTTCACTGAGTAAAAACAGCTGCCTGCATGTCAGTTCTAGTGAACAAGATTTTTTTAAAAAATGAAGGCAAATGAGTGAGTTTAGAGAAGACATTAGAGGTGAACTTGTACACAAACACTCTTCATGTTAAGCAACATACTCACGTAAGAAGTATAAAACGGTTACAGCTCACTCATGCAAATTTACCTCCATGAACTTGAAAACATAATGTATGATTCCCCTCTTCAGAGAACTAAGTATACGATCTCACATAAGTTAAGTGCTCCCATATTATACTGCTCTGTAATGATTCCTTGTTTTACTGTGTGTGTGTTCCTTTAAATGTTTGTAGTAGAGTAGTGCTAGTAGAGTAGAATGATTGAGGGAGACAAGTGTGCTGTGATTGGTGAATGACAGTGTGGGAGATGTGTGTCTTGAAGCCAGTTTGAGTGAATCTGAGTTATGGAGAGGTCAGATTTAGAGTGAGTCAGTCACTGAGTGAGCTGACAGAGTCTGTGTGGAAACTTAAAGAGTTCAGAGTTCAGTATATACAGCTTTAAGAGTTTGAATGTGAAGGAGCTATGAGAAGGGTCTGTGAGATGCTAAAGTAAAGAAAGAAAACCAATAGTGCAAAGAGCTAAGTCAGTGTGGCTGCCTATGCGAAAGATTCCTGTCAGAGTGGGATCTTAATGTCAAAAGACTGTGTGTGATACTTTGCTAGTTTATTTACCAGTTCCTTTTCCCCAATACAGTTACAATTAACCAGCAACTTATTTTTTGTTCTTTAATCAATAAATCATATTTTAAGTTTAACCCAGAATTCAGTTCAATCCTTCCTCAGGGCCACATAGACCTTTGAAAAGCCCAGACCCTAGGTCACATTACCAGCAGCAGAAACAGAGAGAAGATTTGGAATTTCTTAAAATTCCTGGTGGCAGCAGAAACTACCCAGTTTAGAAACACAGAGTATAATTTTAAAGTGGAAAACAGTTCCCCAAATAAGCAGTGCACCACATGCTCATAGAAACAGACCAGGCAAACATTGATCTATTCAATTTCAGCTGCTACTTACAACAGACATTGTTCCTTCCCTTTTTTTTGTATCTCACAGCTTTTCAGGCATCATGAGGCATTTGTCCACAGAAAGAAGGGTTCTATTTTAACAACAGAAGCTATAGTATACCTTCTCAAACAAATTATTTTACCCAAAGCAAGCATGAATTCTGATCTCCAGAACATCAGTGCAAACAAAGGTAAGTTGAAGCAACATGAAAAATTAGTGTTTAGAGTCACAAACACACCCCTTAAAGTTGACACTTGTTTGATGTCAAATGGAGCGACAACTGGATGGAGCCCTGTAATGTATTCAGATGCTGCCCTGAATGCATGAGGATGAAGTGTGAATCATCCCATAGAGAAGCTATGCTAAGCTTCAGACGTCGGCAAGGATTCGCGCCGAAAGAATTGTGTCCAATCACATTTGAACTGTCTGTGGTGGGAACACTTGTGATTGGGCAATTATGCGAACAACCTGATAGGTTGAGAATTGTATAGTAGGTGTGGCTACATTAGCCCGGAATGTTTAAATACCGAGCAGCTGCAATGGAAAAGCTGTTCGGGCTATCAGATGTTGTACCGTGTCAGAGAAGTTGATAGTCGAGCTGAAATAAACCTGAGTTTTGCTGAAATCACTCTCTGGCTATTTGTTAAGCACGGACTTAACAAGCCCAGAACTTGATCACACACTCCAACTCAAAACTCAGCCTCTTTTGGCAGTTCTGACATGATGTGTTAAATATGGGTTTAGTTGCAAGCTCATTGTTTGAGGAAGCAGAGAATCAGCATAATCATGGTGCTGCAGGTAGGAACTTATCTGCAGCCCATTTTATGTGCTAATGTCATTTATATTCTTTGCCAATTTTCAGTTTCATCCCCGAAACAGTCAGCAATTAAAAGTTGCACTGAAAAGACAAAAAATACAACAACAGACCTTGTTAGTTGGCTGCATTTTTAAGAACCAATTTAGACAGCCAAAGAACCTACAGAGATAATAGGTTAGGATATATGGCTCTGGTACAGCCTAAGGGGATTCATGCAGCAGTTGACAGGAAAGCAAGATGTCAGGCTGACTAAGTGATTAGCACTGTTTCCCAGGAAGCCAGTGACTAACTGCTTAGAGTGCAATATCATATCATATCTTTTTTTTCCCTTTTCTTTTTTTGGCTGTGTAGCA